CCATATTCTGCAGTTTTATACACCAACCTTTACGTCATGTGTCCTCTTAAATGGAGGCTCCCATGTAAGTTCTATTGTGTTCGCATGGAGTTTTGTTGCTAATATATGCTGAGGGCTCAGTTGAGGTTCTACAAGAAATTTTTTGAAAGTTACAAAAGTAATCTTTACAAATAAACTTACCAGTGTATTGCACAAGATAGATAGGTTTACTTTCGCCATATTTACTAACAGCTGTGATACGAAATTCGTAGAGTGAGCACGAGTCCACACTCATAATCTCAACGGTATTTCCCCTTATGCCACGCAACTCACGAACTTTACCATCTTCATTGTGTCTGAAAACTTTATTGTTATGTCTGAAGTAAAAATTTAAACCTAATGCAGTAAATTCTGTTATTAGATCTTCTTTTTCAGGGGGATACAAAACAGCTATTATTTTTTAATGAGTTCAGCTATAGTAATTGTTTGAATAAAGATTCTTGCTTTTGAAAGTCAGCTAGAAATCCTACGTTTTTTACATCTGCTGTACTGTAGAAGAGTCACCTATGAACTTCCTTATGCATCAAAACCCATTAAGATGTTTGAAAGAATTTCTCACATTAACTTTAATTTCTCATGAAATTTCATTCTATTAAATAAATTTTTTCTTCAAGTCTTTATAAGTTTTGTAAGAAAAATTGAAGGCTGAACAGGTAACCAACTTGAGACGATAGCGAATATTATAGGTGAGGTCAGTATCCGTGGAGAAAGCTGGTGCCCAAGCTAATCGTACAGAATAGGCCGAGGTGCTGATCACCTGAAAAGAGTTCCTTAGCGCCATGGCCATGATCTAGAAGTGGAAGGACAGTTGTGCCCTTCTATTTTCTAAGTCGGTGCAGAAAAACTTCAAAAAATGGCTACAAAGGTTTTTTGCATTTGATATACTCTTTTTTTTCTTTTAAAGATTATAAAAAAAACCACATTCGCATAGAGGCATATAGACTGAAATTGAGATTTTTTTGTTCATATGTAGAAATGAGGGAGGACAAAATACCTGACAATCAGAAGGCGGATCTGGTGGAAGACGTGCAAACATGAACTTCTCATTTGGTACTATAAAATAAGTCTTTCTCCTTTACATAAAGATTTCCTACAATATAAGGAGATTTAGCAGATTCAAAAACCCACAGACATGGCTTCCTCTTCGTTTCGCTCTTTTCTTCTTAGACTTCTTCCTCGCAAGTTCATTATAATCCTTATGTGCGAATATCATTCCTCTTGCCATTTGTGCAAGTAGCGATGCCATCGCTGCTCTTCGTCGCCTAAAATCGTATATCCTAAATAGAATAGGTAGGCTATAAAAATGAAAAGATCTACTTTTACCTCGCTTTTGCCTCTCTAATAAGGTAGAAAGGATTGTTGCTCTTTAGTTTTCGTCCAAGGTAGTGAATCTCTTTGAGGTACATTCTTCCAACGACATCCATACACATAGTGGTCAGGATTACACCACCTAAAA